ACCTAACTGTTGGTGTTGTTGTCTAAACCTAACTGTTGGTGTTGTTGTCTAAACCTAACTGTTGGTGTTGTTGTCTAAACCTAACTGTTGGTTTTGTTGACTAAACCTAACTGTTGGTGTTGTTGACTAAACCTAACTGTTGGTGTTGTTGTCTAAAGCTAACTGTTGGTGGTTTTGATGACTAAAGCTAACTGTTGGTGGTTTTGATGACTAAAGCTAACTGTTGGTGGTTTTGATGACTAAACCTAACTGTTGGTGTTGTTGACGAAACCTAACTGTTGGTTTTGTTGACGAAACCTAACTGTTGGTTTTGTTGACTAAAGCTAACTGTTGGTGCTGTCTAAAGATAATTGTTGGTGTTGTTGTCTAAAGCTAACTGTTGGTGTTGTTGTCTAAAGCTAACTGTTGGTTTTGTTGACTAAACCTAACCTCTGGAGGTTTACCTCCATGCAACAGTCCCCGATGATCTCGGGCACAATGCCGTAGAAGGCCAGCTCCTCGTCGAAGGCCTGGATGCATTCGTTTCTCGGGTAGTGGAGCTTCCCGGTGCGGTAAAAGTTTAAAATGTGCCGGAACATTTCGGGGTCCCGATCGAAGAAGTATTCCTGCGTGTCCTCGTTGTAGAAAAACTCCTTCTCCGAAGAACCCAGCAGCGTCTCCGGATAACGGTCCAAAGTGTTCTTCCATGTCTGGAGGAATCAAAGAGGAAAGAAAAGAACAGACAGTTTTACTTTTGAGACTCTAAATCTGGGCCTCGTGTGGGCGTTCAGTGCTGAATCACAAATCTCACAGCAAAAACAAACCAGTGTGGACAACAACCAAAGTTTTCTATTCTACAAGATGTTTTTACCTCTTGCTGTGAAGAGGCTTTAGAAATGCTGATGTTTGGCATTAATCATCTGCTGCTAGTTTAGTCACAGGTGTTGGGGGACTCAAGTACTGTACTTAAGTATAAGATTGACTATTCCCATATTATGCAGCTTTATCCTTTTACTCCACTCCATCTCAGAGGTAAAGCTTTAATTCCACTGACACAAAATATAGCAAATACATTGTTGGAGCGGTTATGGGTGTTTTTGGGGGGGTTTCTTGGTGTTTATTTTTGTGGGAATTAGTAATAAGTAGACACAGGTCTCAGTCTCAGTGTGTTTGGACCTCTGGAGATGGAATGGTTCTTACTGTGAAACCTCAACACAATTAACAGAAACTACAGTCTGCAATCTTCAACTACTGCATCATGGAAGAAGCAAGAGGCCGAAGATTGAAGCTTCGTTTATACTCGAGCGTGGCATCGTGGCGTGATTTTGTTGCATTATTCTCTAAAACACCAGAAGACAAACTAAATCAAAAAGACAACGAGTTTAACCGTCAAAAAGCCATAAACCAACCAGGGATTGTAATCTGACAACTCATATCTCATATTCATGGACTACTTTATTTACTTTATACAAATCCTGTAAAGAAACAAGTCAAGTATTAAATGTATTATTAAGAAAGAAAGGTTGACTATCTTGTAAACTATTTGATTTAGCTGCTAAATATTTACTCAAATGTAGATTTTTAAGACCTGTTTCTAAAGCTTCTAACAAATACTTTAAGTACTCAGACATGTAAACAGTGTTATCATCAGTGAACGATTTGTGACAGTTACGTCTGAAAACAGCAAGTTACAAAAGCTGCTTACATCACGGACGTAGACTTTTATCAAGAACACATTTAAGTAAAACTGTAGGATTTTTTTATGAAAGAAAAAGACCAAATATGAGACATTCCCTTGAGTTTAACCACTTTACCACTTTAACTCAAACACAAGTTCCATTTGCAGCCGTGACTGAGACGCTGAGAGAGACGGCGGCGTTGAACCGTCACTAACGGAGAAGTACGGCCTGTTTTATGCTCGGATGATATGTTTTGGGGGGTTTTACTGGATGTTTGTATTCACGTCACCAGATCTTCAAGCTGCTGTGTTTGGTTTTTAACAATCAGGACAAAGTCACAGGAACTTTCTTCTTGTTTTCTGCCACCTCAGCAGAAAGTACTGAAGGTGCTGTTTGATTCCTAAAAGCCACCAACATCTATTTTTTCTGCTGTGAAGCCATTTTGGTTATTATTTCCTCTTAAATGCACATCGATGCCTGATGAGACGTCAAGTATTTACAACTCTCAGCAGCTCGTTAGGAGCAGCACCGACCTCTGCAAAGTTAAAGTGCTTTTCATTTTTATGTGATCGTATTCTTTTAACCCTCGGACAGGTATTGACTTTACAATAACTTCTAACGTTTTCTGCTCCATTTTAAAAAAAGGCAAAAGTTTAAGACTGTCAACTACAAGTCCCAGAGAGTATTGCTGTAAGAAACATCCAATCAGGGAGCTTCAGATTCACAATGGAGCTGGAATTAGATGGAGCTGGGTTCCTTCAACAAACAGCCAATGGGATTCTTCCATTGGATATTACATCAAATAATCTCTGAGTCAAACAGTCGTTTCTGATGCTTCCAGGTTTAGTTCATCAAGTTAATCGGCATAAACACTTCAATATCAATACAAAACTTTTATATCGTAGTGAAGAAGAACTTTATTGTTCATGATGGACCTCAAAACCTGCTGGAATCACAATAAAGTCGTTCTTTATATTACTACTTTATCCTTCAACAGTTGTCATGCAGGTCAAGGATCATGATTCCCGTCGTTCTGAGCATGCTCAGTAGACCGCAGCACTCACCTGAAACCTGACCCCGCTGACGTTGACGTACAGGATCTCATCCGACTTGGACGAGTTGTCCACGGGAGGTTTGGGCATCGTCTTTTTGGCCAACGGCAGCCATCCCACCGCCGCAGCCCGAGCAAACGGCAGCCACGTCGCCACGCCGGCCGCCATCTTGCATCAGCGCGTCCCGACCTGCAAAGAGGGACGAGTCGTGTCCTCGGTGGGGGATGAGGATGAACCTGAGGGTGTGAGTTTACTAAATCCTCACTTCTTCTTCTCCTGCCCTGATTTCCTCGAGGGGGCGAGGCGGCGAGAGAGGAGGTGGTCGGCCATGTTGAAAGGGGGGGGGGGGGAGGGAGGGGTCAGACGGCAGTTAGGTGTCAAGCCATGAAAATAAATACCATGAAGGAGGGAGGAAGCCGACGCATCCGACAGGTATGTGGCCCGTCTTTTATTTTGATGAGTTTCTGGCGTCCTACTGGTTTTGGGGGGGCATCCTGTTGCTTTTCAAAATAAAAAAAGGTTAACCGGCACCTTTAAAAATCCCAAAACTCTCAGGAATCTGCTGAAATATTTTCGTCTTTTTAGATTGTAGATGACAAACTTTCAGCCTGCAAAGAGATTCTCCTAAAGAACGAGATGTTCCACTTCACAGCACAAACTCTCCGCGTAGAAAAACACAATTTGTTGAACCCTCAGCAGCCTGAGAACACGTGTAAAACAATAATGATGAAGTTATTTCTCTGATATTGCCGTCACGGGTTTTTTATTGTTGCGGGGATTCGAGACAAAAAGACAAAGAGGAATAAATCCAGGTAGGAAAGTGACATCAGAGTCTGGCCTCCATCCTCATCTCTCTCTCTCTCTCTCTCTCTCTCTCTCTCTCTCTCTCTCTCTCTCTCTCTCTCTCTCTCTCTCTCTCTCTCTCTCTGAAGACAGATTTGTTGCAGCGCCGCAGCCTTTCAAATTGGTATTAAATTGTGATGATGGTTCCTGAAGTTGCAGGATAGACAGAATGTCCTCCCTCCATCTAAGTGGAGGTTATGGATGTACAGCCTCCCTCTTCCTCTTCCTCTCCTCCTCTGTCTGCTTTTGCTTTTGCTTGCTGTTTTGCCCTCTCTAATGCTCCTCTATCTGCCTCTGTGTTTTATTGTCTCTCTGTCAGGGGGGGGGGGGGGGGGGGT